AAAAAGCACCAAAAAGCCCTCCCAGCTCCCCAGGGATCTCCCAGCCCAGCAGGGCAGATTTCAGGCTCCTGCCACCACACCTGGACACATCCCAGTGACTCCCTACCCATACCTGCTCTCTACCTCCTCCTCCTCCTCCTTCTCCAGCACCTCTTTGTCTCTCTAATCCTCTAACCCTTCAACTCAAGCAGAAAGTGGTGGGTTTGTCCCACCATGTCCCTCTCCAAGCCTGTGGAGACATGCTGCAACCTCATGGAGAGCTCCCAGCTGCTCACCTGGAGGGTGATGGTTGCTCTGCTCACCTCTGAAGGTGGTTTCTCTGCTCACCTCCAAGCTGTCATCAGCATTGACCATCCAGCAGTCCGTGCATGTGGCCAGGAGTAGGAAGAGTGTTGAGAGAAGAGTGAGCCCGAACGCTGTCATCTGCAGGGCTGGGCTCATGAGGACACCTGCAAGGGCACAGAGACATCCACCACCTCTGCTCTGGCTGCTTCCAGCTACCTGATCCACCAAGGACAAAGTGCCACTGACTTTGTCAGATGTCCTCTGGATCCCTAAGAGCCATCTGGGCCCTGTCTCAGGGTGCTCAGTGCTGTCAAAATGCTCCAGTACCCTCAGCCAAGGTTGGGCTGCCAAGTTTATATGTAGAGAGAGCCTTCAGGGGCACAGTAATTTTAGAGAGGAGATATTCCCACGTCAGTTCCCTCTCTTCCAAATAGAAGCTGCCAACCATCAGTAGTTGCCCTTTGGGAATCAAGAGCTGCTGGAAACCACTGTTAAATAACTGCTGCTGCCAAAACCTGTGACCTGAGCTTGGGTCTTCTGGTATCCAGAGGTTCTCTGGATGCCTCCATCCCTGCAGCCACGTGACTTGGTGGGGACATCATCTGCCTTTTCTTGCATTTGTTTTTTTCCTCCCAGAAAAGCCACGAGGTGTTGAAACATCCAGGTTGGAGCACAAGCGACTGTCCCATGGAGGTGTCCTAATCCCAAGCACAAGCCCAAAGAAGTATCTCCCATTCTGGGATGGACAGGGGCTGCTGGGGCATGACAGGGCTGCCCTGAGGAGCTGCCAAGGCTTTCCAAAGAGCAGAAGGGATGGAACCATTCGGTTTCCATCCTAGCCAGAGTTGAAGAGACTCTGCAGAGAAGGGAGCTGTGCCCAAGGTGTGGACATCCTGTCAGCAAAGACTGGGTGGGAATCCCACCTTGCCGTGTTTTGCAACCCAAAATGCCAAATATTTTAGTGCCTGAAGTTGCAACCACTGCAACAGCCTTTCTGATGGGGGTTTACATGGATGTGTTAATTAACGAGACCAGGTGAGTCTCTGAGCTCCACGGGTTAATTATCATGAGGTGATAACCTTGTCATCACCAGGTTTGGTACCTCCAGCCAGAGGCTGCCCACCCTGGCACAGCCCTGGCTCCCTGTGGGGCAGAACTGGAGAGGAAGGTCATGGTCCCCATGCCCAGTGTGCCACATCTACCCCCACGTCCCCTCTTGGGATGTCACTGGGAGCAGAGACATCACTCCCCCATCATCTCTGAGCACTTCCACCAGCTTCACTCTGAGTGTATCTTAGCACAGGCAGCCTCCTAGACCCCAGTTTACAATAATTTTTTTTAATTTCCCAGGCTCTGAGAGCTCTGAGCAAGCTCTCCATAACCTTATTTGTTTCCACTAGACCCTGGTTGTCCTGCAGCCTTCGAAGAAAATCTGTTCAGCTACTTGAGTTATATGAGCAAGAGAAGAAAAAAAGGAAAAGAAAGAAATTCTTAATGCTGGGAGAAAACAGCCCTAAACCCAGCTGACAATAAAAGGGGAGCATTACCTTCACCACAGGCTCATCGTAGCTGCAGTGGGATGATGACAGGATCTCTTTGTTGCCGATGATTTGGGATGGGGATGTGGGTCTGGAAGGCTTTTAAGTGCCAGTGGGATTCGATCTTGACCCATCTGATGGAGTCAGGGGTAGGCAGTGCTGGCCAGAGCCTGTGCTGGGCTATTTAAGGTCTGTCCAAGGCACGTCAGCTGGGCTTTGTGCTCTGAGACATGATGGGCATCCCTGCAGTTAGAGCACTCACAGGCTGGGAATGGAGTGTCCACAAAAATGTCACGTGGGGAAACCTCTGGGAACCCGCTGGGAGCTCTCCCCAGGTGGGAGACTCTGTGTCCTGGGCAAATATCCCCTGTTTTTTAATTAGACCTTTTAGTTACTGCCCAGGGGTGAGTGGCCCAAGACACCGGAGTGACCTAAAACCCAGGAGTGGTGCAAGAGTCAGAGGGATGGAAGGGGCCAAGGAAAGAGTCTGGAATGCCAGGATGATAATTAACTCTTTTGGTTGACAATTAAGACCCTTCTTTTTTCCCCTCCATTAAGTAGAAAACAAGTGACAAGCACTGCAGTGGGGATGGCTCAGGTACCACGTCTGGGCAGCCCCCGAGGGGGTGCCTGTGACCCTGGGGAGCAGCACCCCAGCTGCCTGGCACTTGGAGCTAAAAACTTCGTGTTTATTCCCTGATTCTCTACTATTTGGGGGAAAAAAATCCCTTTTGCTCTCGTTTTCTTGCGCAGGATCCCTGTTGCAGCACCCTCGGAGCATCCCTGGGCTCTCCCAGACCCCTGGGAAACAGCCATAGTTACATTTTGGAGGTTATGGCTGAGATGCACTCGGGTTTTTAGAGTGGATTTTTTTGTTGGGTTGGTAGGTTTTTCTGGTTGGTTGGTTTTGGGCTTTTTTTGGGGGTTTTTTTTGGGTTTTTTTTGTTTGTTTTTTCCTCTCTAGATAATCCTCTACAGCACTTTGCTGTGGGGATTTTGGCAATGCACCAGTCTTGAGCTTTAGCCCTGCAGAGACCCCCCCAGGTGCCTGATGTGTACAATTGCTTGGGCTTTATTTTGAGTTATCCTGTTTTCCCAGGATTTTGGCACGTGGCAGGTCCAATGCTTTGGCATGTTAGCAGTGAATTAGGTTTGCAAACCTTCATTTTCCAACCTTTACAGCTCAGGAATTCATGGTCCTTGGACATCCAGGACACGTGAAATTTTGCTGTGGCCCCAAGTGACACAAAACTGCAGCTCCTATAAAATAAGTTTATTTGTGTTTTCTGCTCATCTAAACAGTCACTTTATGATACTTCAAACTAATCTGCCTTGTCAGTCCCCAACTGAAACCTTTTGGAGGGTTAAAAGATGCAGGTGGAGGGGCAGAGCCACCAGTAGTCGAGTAATTAAGCTCCTTTCCCTGGTTAATGAAGGTGAAAACCAGATCTTGGATCCCACAAGGTTTGTCAAAGCCCTGTGTTACAAAAGTGGTGCTGACAAGACCCAAATCTTGATGCTTTAGCACACACTGTGTTAAAAGCCTGCTGTGGCTGGAGAGGAAAAAAAGAAATTAAGGCATTTTCTTTGATGGGAGCATCTCAGAGAGTTGGAGAGAATGCTGTTGGGGCAGGACAATGAATAAAAATTAATAAAACCACGACCAAATTCAAACAGCCACATCCCAGAGGTGTAAGAAAAGCCCCTGTGCGTACCTTTGGGGAGGGGGGTAATTTTCCCTTTTGCCTCATTTCTACCTGTTTTAAAATTACTATTATTTCCCAGGGGTTTAGCTGAAGGCAAGAGGTATGACCAGAAACCTTCAATATTGCTCATTAAACTGCTTTTATTGACCAAAAGTTGTGTGTTGGAAGGGGGGAAACTGTTTTAGCCTGTAAACAGAGACAGATCCTCCTCCTTGTTGTTCTTCCAGCCCCAGTGTCTTATCCCCAGGGAGCCCTCAGGTGACCCTTGGAGATGTCACGGGAACTCCCAGGGACGGTAAATCCTGGTTTTTGAGGTGGGAATGGGATGGTTTTGTGGAGCAGGTGTGGCAGGCAGGACAAGGATGCTGAGGAGAGACAGCAGCCCTGCAAAATCCGGGATGGAAAGCGTTATCCCTGAGGAAAAACATGCACAGCAGGGCAGGGCAGGGGGTTGTGCCCCCACACAGGGGAGCAAAAATCGGCTTAAATTAGCAAAGTGCCCAATTAGGCACAAGTCAGCTCTGAATTCATGGAAAATGGGAGAAAATAGGCAAAGTTCAGCTCTGAGGGTCCACAAGAGGAAAATGGTGGTGGCATTTCAGCCTTGGGAAGAGTCCTGTAGAGGGACGATTCCAAGGGGTTTAACCTTAAATTAAGGAATTTTTTAAGGCCATGTCCCCTCCTTCAAAGAGAAATATGTGGCAAAAGAGTCGAGGTATTCAGCCAGGAGGGCAAGAACTGTTTAGGGTGGGGGAGAGGCTCCTGCCTGGGCCACGCTGCAGAAGTGGCTCTGACCCAGCACTGGAGTCACTGGGGGAGACTGGTCCAGATGGGGGGTCAGAGGGGATAAAAGAGACAATTCCAAAAAGATACCCGTGATTGAAAATATTTTAATACAATTTTTTAGTACAAACAGGAAAAAAAAAAAAAAGGCATTTAAAAATCCCCCACCCATCCCGCATCCCGTAGAAAAATTAATGGAGTTTTATATTAAAAGAATAAAAACATTCTTTACACAACACTGCGATATAAAAAGGCCTTTTTAGTCGATTTTTTGGGTGGGTTTTAAAGCACAAGGTTCCTTCTCAAACCTGATGGGTGAAGCCAACCTACAAGCACTGCTTTCTCCCTGAGGGGGTGCAGGACACAGTTTTAATTTTTGCAGTTTAAAGAGAAAGAGGCAGGTAGTGCAGGGGGAAGGGAAAGAAAAATAGCATTGCTTCTCCTCCAGCACAGCCTGGGATCCAGAGCAGGTCAACAGAGGGAAAGGAAATAAAATAGAAGGAAAGAAAACATAATGGAGAAAAATAGAGTGAAATAAAATACAGCAAAATAAAACAGAGGAAGAGAAAATAAAATAGAGTCAAATAAAAGAATATAGTGTAAAATAAAATAAAATAGAGCAAAATAAAAGAAGATTGAGGAAAATAAAACGAAATAGAGCAAAAGAAAATTTTTTAAAAAATCAGCCATTTCGTCTAATTGGGGTTAAAAAATAAAATAATAAAAAATAGATAACCAAGGTGTTTGGATTATTTCCAGTGTCTTTCCCTGTGGGTTGGCTGGTGCCACAAATGCAGTAGGGCTGGAGGGATGGGGTATGGGGGGTTTGGGGGGATTTACAGACAAATTGGAGCTTTGGCAGTTGCAGAGCAATTAGCAGCAGTGGTGTGGAGGTCTGAGGAGGCAGAGGCAATTAGCAGGTGGGGTTTGGAGCCTTCACCGCCTGCTCCAGGGGGTCCTGTTCAGGAAGGGGGATTTGGACCCAGCAGGGAGGCACCAAAATTTGGGGCTCTGTCCATCTGCCACTTGAAATAGTTGAGTTGGGCACCAGAAATAAAAACAAACCCTCCTCTGTGCTCAGAGCCCCCTTATTTTTGCTGCTTTAATTTGCCCAAACCCATTTATTCTTCTGTTGAACAAGGCACAGCCTGGTCCTAGGAAGGAACGAGCCCAGGGCAGTTTTTCTTGTCTGGCAGAGCTCAGCTGGAGCAACTGACCTCCAGGCAGGAATTAGTAATAATTAATAATAATTTTTAAAACCCTTGGGTTTAGGTAGCAATGAGGCGGAGGAATGCTGTGCACTGGAAGCATCCCTCTGCCAGGAGCAGGGCATGGGAATGCTCGAGCCCTGAGTCGGGCTGGGGCTGGTAGGTGTGAAAACCTCATCTCAGGAAAACCAAGCACTGGCTTCGCTCCCCACTCGCTCCCGAAAACAGGCTGTGGGAGAGGGGTGGTCATGGCACAAAGTGCTTCCGTGCAGCACATCCCCATGGGATCGGCTTTGTGCCCCTGTGGCACTGGCATCAACCTCCCCCCATTGCCCCTGCAGCATCCCCGTGAGGGATGGACACGGCCCAGCAACCCCAGGGGACTGGGGGTGCCACCCTGCCCACCCGAGGGGACCGTGGCACTGATGGATGTGGGAGCTGTGACCCTCAAAACCCCTATTTTAGAGGCTGGCACCGCAAATGGTGCTGAAACCTGGAAGATGAGGAGGAGAAAGGTCTCGTGGAGCATTCAGGGGACCGGGTGGGGTGGGAGCACCGGGGTCTTGCCCGTTTTTTGGGAGGGGAGGGAGGCACCAGGCGGTGGGAGGGCAGGGTGAGGGCTCAGACGTACTCCCGGGACGTGGAGGGCTGCGACTGCCGGTGGTACTGCTGTGCTCGGCGCTCCTTGGCAGGGCAGGAGCAGCACAGGAGGGACCCCCCCAGCATGGAGAGGCCGGCGGCCCCCCAGCCGACGAAGAGAGCAGAGCCAAACTCGTACCTGTGGAGAAAGGGGTGGGGGAGCATCAGGGAGGGGGCAGAGAGGCAGAGGTGCAAACTGAGATGGGCAGTAGGAAGCTCGAAGCCCTGAGGGAGGCGACGGGCAATGCCGAGGCAGAGTTTGGTTCTTCCCTCTCTGTCCCCACCTTTCACGTTGGCTGGATCCGGCTCCTACATTTCCCTGTCCTTTAACCCTCCCTTGGGCTGAAACTCCCCATGTGCACCATTAGCCTGTCCCAGCTGGTAACAACAAAAGCTTTAGCCTCGGGGACACCTTCTGCAGGGTGGCAGTGAGGGGTGGCAGAGGTCCCTCCCATGTGGCACATCAGCCTTGCCAACACCAGCAAGGGAAGGTCCAGTGGGAAGTGCAGGGACAAGATGGGATTCAGATGCAGAGCACCCCCCGAGCCAGGCTCTTACCTGGCGTTGATGGGCACGGCGCTCTCTCTGAAGAACTCGTAGGTCACCTGTGTTGCGTACAAGGACACGGCAGCCAGCGAGCACAGACCTGGGCACAGAACCATGGAATCACAGCATGGTTTGGGTTGGAAGGGACCTTTAAAGGTCACCTAGTTCAGCCCCCACTAGACATCAAATGCTATCAGTGACACGAAGCCTTCACTGAACGCTCCAACAAACAGCGTTCAGAGGCTTTGGAGGATTGAGGATTCCTGCACCAGTTTGAGGATTCCTGCACCAGTTTGAGGATTCCTGCATCAGTTTGAGGATTCCTGCACCAGTTTGAGGATCCCTGCACCAGTTTGAGGATTCCTGCACCAGTGAGGTGCGAAGGCTGGAGCTGCCTTACCAGAGAGGATGAAGAGGACACCTCCAGCGACAGCTATGCGGCTTTTGGTGACAGGATCCTCCTCCCCAACTTTAGTGCATTTCATGCCCACCACGCTCACGATGATGCCGAAGAAGCCCAGGAGGAGAGAAATGACCATGAGAGCCCGGGAGGTCTGGATGTGAACTGCAAGGGAGGGGAGAAAAGCTGCTCCCAGCAGGTGGCTTTGGCCACAGCCGGGCACTGGAAGCAAGGTCACCTCGTCCCACGCTGGGGATGGATGTGTCCTTAACCCTGTCCTCACTGTGTGACTCCCATGTCACCTCTTTCCCCACCTGGTAGGTACAGAGACCTCAGCTCAACTCAGGGCACCACCCCCAACACCATCCCTGACCTTTCCCCCTGCCACACTCATCCTCCTCATGATTGTCTGGGCTGGGAAACACCTTGCCCTGCGCAGCACCACAGTCCCCAAATACCACAGGGGTGATCCACAGCCTGGGGGTGTGGGGTGGGGGGAGGTTGTGATGCCCCCATGGGGCACTGTTGGTCCCCAAATGTGATGGCCACCCTGGAGCTCAAACCCACCAGGGTCAGGGGGCATCCCAGCCCCACAAAGGGACTCGAAACCACAGGGCCAAGAGAGGCTCAGCTGCACTGTGGGGAGCTCAGATTCATGGATGGAGGGGGGAAACCTGGGCCCACATGGATGGGTGAAGTGGGTTCAGACTTTTCTAAGGGGGGTCAGAGGCATATTAGAGGGGCTCACACCTAGGGTGAGGTGAGGAGGGCAAGAAGGGTTTGGATCTCCAGAAGACTCTGGAGGGGCCAGGGGGAGCTCGGACCCATGGAGGGGGAAGGGGGCACCCAGACATTGAGAGGATACAAACCCATATAGGTGGGTTCAAACACTGAGAGGGGCTTGGAGCCATATGGGGGCTGTCAAAACCACGGCAAGACTCAGACCTGCAGGGTGTGTGTGTGGGGGGGCACCAGACAACGAGGGGGCACAGACCCATTGCAGGCGTGGGGTTTCAAACCCATATAGATGGTTTCAAATACACAGAGGGGGCTTAGAGCCACAGAGGGGCTGTCAAAACCACAGCAGGGCTCAGACCTGCAAGGGTGGGGTGGCACCCAGAGGACACAGACCTGTTGCAGGTGTAGGGTTTCAAACCCATATAGGTGGTTTCAAATACACAGAGGGGGCTTAGAGCCACAGAGGGGCTGTCAAAACCACAGCAGGGCTCAGCCCTGCAGGGTGGGGTGGCACCCAGGCACCCAGAGGACACAGACCTGTTGCGGGTGTGGGGTTTCAAACCCGTACAGGTGGGTTCAAACACAGAGAGAGGCTGAGAGCCATACGGGGGCCATGAAACCCACATCAAGGGCTCGACCTGCAAGAGCAGGGGGCAAGGGCAGCTCAAGATCCCAGGGGAGCTCAGAGAGAGAGTGAGCTCGGTTCTTGCACCTCAAGGTGCTCAGGATCCCAGGGGAGCTCGGGGTGGAGGGGGTGGGGGGAAGGGAGGGGGGGCTGTAGCCGGGAAAGGGAGCGCGGTACCCACCGTCGAGGGAGAGCAGCGAGTCGTGCAGGCGGCACTGGACCTGCCCGGTGCTCTGGGCGGCGCAGCTCATCCACAGCCCCTCGTGGAGCCCCACGGCCGTGATGATGGCGTCCCCGGCGTACGAGCTCTGCCGCCACTGCGGCAGCACCGCGGCCGCCAGCGCCGACACCCACCCGGCCAGCGCCGCCAGGTACCCGCACAGCTCCCGCGCCCCGCCGCCCATCGCCGCCGCCCCGCGCTCCCCGCACCGCCCGCGGGATGCAGCGCGGCGTGGGAGGAGGGAAAAGGCACGGGAGGGAGGGACAGTGTGTGGGGGGAAGGATTTGGAGTGAGGGGAGAGGTTTGGCGGCAGGGGGAAGGGTCTTGCGGGGGGTGGGGTGGGGGAGATTTGGGTCCTGGGAGGGATTTTGAGTCCCGAGTGGGAGATTTGGGGCGTGGGGGGGAATTGGGTGCTTGGGGAGGGCAGAGGGGGGCGGAATTAGGGGCATGGAGAGGGAGCGTTGGGTCTGCTCAGAGAAGAGGTTTGGGGTCTGGGGGGAGAGACTGGAGTCTCGAGTGGGAGATTTGGGGGTGATGTGGGGCTTGGAGGGGGGGCAGAATTAGGGACCTGGAGAGGGAGCGTTGGATCTCCAGGGAAGAGCATTGGATTCTGCAGGAGGAGAGATCTGAGTTTCGAGTGGGAGATTTGGGGCCAAAGGGGGGGGATGATGTGGGGCTTGGGGGGGAATTGGGTACTGGGGGCAGGGAGGGGTGGAATTAGGGGCCTGAGAGGGAGCATTGGGTCCCCAGGGAAGAGCATTGGGTTCTGCTGGGGGAGAGATTTAGGATCTGAAGGGGAAGAGATTTGAATCTGAGGAGAGTGATTTGGGGCTGGAGGTGAGGATTTGAGTCCTGGAAGGGAGAATTTAGCCTTGGGGTAAAGATTTGGGGCATGGGGAGTATTTCTGTCCTACAGGAGATATTTGGGTCTTGAGGGAGATGGGGACTCCACAGTGGAGGGATATGGGAAAATGGGGGCCCCCAACGGGAAGAGGGGAAGGGGTGTGGAGGAGGTGACCCCTCCCCCCCCCCAAATCCATGACCCCCTGCACCCCTGCCGTGGGCTGGGAGCCCCCCCCCCAACCACAGAGGCCCCGGGGGTGGCTCCAGGAATTCGACAGGGAGCAGGGAAGGGGTTCATTTAGTGAGGGAATTCGGGCACACCACGCCACCCACCGTGGCACCAACAAAAGACACCATTGTCAGCGGTGTCCCCCTGCAGGAGGGGGACACGGGGTGTAGGGGGGACACGTGCCACCACCCCGGTGACACCAAGCCCGTGGCAGCCCCAGGACCTGGCAATGGTTAACCTCCCCGGCCTCATCAGCAGTCTGCTCACGCGCCCAGGCAGCCGGGTCAGCCGCGGGGATGGTGGGCACCCTCCAGTGGGACCATCTTTTCATCCTGCAGAAACCTACCCCAGACCCCCTCTCGCCCACCCTGATGCTGAACGGGCCCTGCCCTACGCCCTCTCCCAGTGGGATGGGGGTGCTGGGTACTGGTGCAGCGGGGCAGGATTTATTTGCCCACATTCCCGGGATGGTTATGGTAATGGCCAGACACCCGCGGGAACAATTCGATGCCCTGTCCGGGGGTGCCAGAGTGCTCAATGTCCTTCTTGTTCAAGGACGGTTCCCTCCTCCTTGGAATGGTGGGTCTCTGCCCACGCTGCAGGAGTGGGGTCCAGGGGATGCTCAGCCGAGGGCTGCACTGCCCCTGATGCCCCTGGGGCACCTTGTCCCCCCCAAAAACACCTTTGTGGGGTTGCAGGGCTACAACACCCTTCAGTAAATGTTTGCCAGGAGGAAAGGCTGCACCCCAACACTGATGGCAGCCAAAGGGGGGGCAGCAGACTCCAGCCAGCGACAGGTTAGAAAAAAAATAGCTTTATTCACCCATCTTCTGCAGAAGGCACTTAAATAGCCGCAGGCTCAGGAAAGGCACACAACTGCACCTGTGGCACTGGGGCCTCACCCCTAACACAGCACCCCTCCCTTGTCCCCATGTCACCCCTCTGAGCCTCTATCACATCCCAGGTCAGCTCCACGGGGGGATGCTGGATGGTGCAGGGGCAGCGCAGGGCATTCCCCAGTGCCCCATCCCATGCAGGTTAGGGGCAGAGGGGGGTCCCATATGTCACCCTGATGACTGAGCAGCCCGAAGCTGCAATGCTGGTGTCACTGGTCCCGGCAGGGACATCCTGGTCCCCGTGGGACATCACAGCTCATCCTTCCCCACCACAACGGCAGCTGGTGGCTCCTGCTCCGGCTCCAAATCTCCCTCTTCCGTGCCAAAAAGCATCTTCACCAGGTCATCTGCCTGCACACGCTCCTGCAGGCAGACCCACGGGGGGGTAAGCATGGCCAGTGTCCCCCTCAAAAACCCCCTGTGCTGCTGGGAGGGAGCTCACCCGCTCGCTGTGCCGAGGGTCCAGGGTGAACCAGAGGGCGATGGCGCAGCGCTGGCCCTTGGTCACGGCCTTCACCCCGTGGGGGTTCTCTGAGCCGGAGGAGAAGCCCACGGCACGGCCACACTGTGGCTGGACCTCTGCCTGCCAAGGGTGGGAGACCCCCATCACGAGCAAGTCAGTCCCCTTCAACCCCAGTTCATCTTTTGCAGTGGCCCAGGGGGTGTTCCCAGGGGACAGGGCCAGCAGGAAGGAGCTGCACGTGGATCCTCAGAGCTGAGCTACTCACGGTCTGCGTCTTGGCATCCAGCTCAGTGAAGTAGAAAGCTCCTCCTTCAAAGTCTCCATTGAGATAAAGGATGGCACTAAAAAGGGAGCAGGGGACAAGAGGAGGTAACTAACAACCCTGACCACAGCTCCAGCAAGCAGGTGAGCCCAGAGCTCCCCCAACACCCACAGCAAGAGCCTGAGGCAGGAGAGCCCAGGTTTGGTGTCCTCCCACCTGGCTCCTCCCAGCCTAGGTGCCACTAAGCTGTGGTACTTTCAGCTGACAGCCACCACCAGTACCTGTAATCCCGGAATGTGTAGGCTGGGGGTTCCTTCACGCACACCAGAGCCTCTGCATTGAGGATGCAGTTGTCCACGTGCACCTCGTGGCTGTTGTCACTCCGACCTTCTTGCTTCTCTAGGGTGGAACGAGACCTGGGATATCAGGATCCCTCTGTCTGTGCAAGAGCAGAGTCTGTCCCCAAGCATCCCAGGCTTGGAGGTGACAAGAAAGTCGTGTGCAGCCTAAAGCACTTAACTTGCTGGAGTGTGGACCATGCGAGGCCACTCGGGTGGCACAAGCCTCTCCCGGCTTGTCCCGTGGCATTCCCTGGCCTTCCAGGCACAGCCTCTCCCAGCACCCATCCCAAATGCCTCTGAGTGCTGAAATCCTGTATGGCATGAAGCCATCTGCCCCACTGCAGGCAACCAAGAGAGCTGCTGCTCATCTTCCTGAACTGGGCTTTAAGGGACAAGCTTCCCACACCCTCCCAGGTAGAGGAGACAGTTAGGGAGCAGCAAGGAGGTCTCCAAGGAAAGGTCCAAGAGCAGACCAATTCCAGCTGTTGGAGGGGACCTGACAGGACCAGACCCGCTCCTCTGGGCCGTGCTCACCGTCGATGGCTGTGCGGCACACGAGGTGGGAATAGGAGAAGTGGAGCGGAGCCTCCAGGCGGAAATAGGACTCCATCATGCGCCGCACCTTCTCCGTCACGTTGTAGTACAGGTGGGCACTGCGCAGGGGCACCTTGCCCTCCTGGCCCAGCTGCAGGGGGACAGGCAGCACAGGGGCTCAGCCCCAGGTGGCCACGGGGCCTGCCCCCAAACTCCCACCTCTTGTCCCCACAGCCCGTTTCTCCCCAAATCCACCCCAACCTTGAGGGCCTTGAGGACGGTCACGCCGTAGAAGGTCTCGCTGGGGGTGTGAGGAGAGGTCTTCCCCCGATAGCCGTCCCCAGCTGAGGCAGCTGCCTGCAAAACCCGATGGGTGTTACTGGTCTGAGCTGCAACCCCTGCCCACCCCCCCATCCCCACACTCACGTTAGTGAGTCTCTGCAGTTCCCGACACTCCTCGGCAGAGAGGACTCCATCCACCACCACACGCTGGGAGCCGTTCAGGGCCCTGGAGTTCATGGTGACACTGGCTCCTTCGTACCCCAAGGGGCCACCTGGGGCACAAACGGGATTGGGGGACATGGGGACGAGCACCACCAACCCTGGGGGAAGCTGTGGTCCTGCCACCTGCTCCTGCTGCCACCCACGTATGGAGGGACTGGCAGCAGGGGTCACGGAGGTCCCCATCCCACCTCCCCTGCTCTGCACCTTCTCGGATGAACTTGCTCATGTCAGCAGACTCCTTGGCCTTCTCCTCCACCAGCGTCTCGATCTCTTTCATGAGGTTGCCAATCTCCTCCGAGATGCGTGCCGCCGTCTCCCGCTCTGCCCTGGGCACGTGGTAGCCATCAGCCCCACCATCCCACTGTCCCCACCACGTCAGGAATGAGAGGCACCAACAAAAGGGCAGGACAAGTTGTCTCAGGGGCTGGTGACAAAGCCCAAGACCCGAGAGAGTCACTCCAATGCATCCCTCACCCTGTGGTGCTTGGGGTGCCCATCATCCCATGGGCTGATGGGAAGCAAAGTTCTGCCCTCCAGCAGCTTTTTTCATCCCCAATATCAACACCTTCCCTGGCAGCAGCTCTGTGCCATGGCCTTTGGCCCAAACCCCCCAGAGGAAGAGGGGTATGTCCTGTTGGACCCCCACCAGGGACAGCACTCACTTCTGTTTCTCTCGCAGCCTTTTCGGTATCACCTCTTCAGGTGTCCACGTGTCCTGCAGCCAGAAGAACAGCATCAGGAGCTGGACAAGGATCTGGCCAGGATGCAGACCCCCTCATCCACATTCCACCTGGCCACTGTGTCCCCTTGGTCTCACACCACCCACCGGGTCCACGAAAGGGATGCCGAAGACATCATAGCTGAAGAAGAGCAGCTCCTTCTCCATCAGGCTCTGCTGGCGGTACACCCGGATGTCCTGTGGCAAGGGGGCACAGGGAAGGGGTGAGGTACAGCACGAGGGCTCTAAAGGACCCTGAGTACGGGCAGGAAGGTGCAGGTTTACACCATTCCTGTGGTCCTTGCTCCAGACCTATAGCCCTGGTTTCCTGTTCCCTCTGGCAGCTGGGAAGGAAGTGGCTTTCCCCATCCTGCCTGAATTTCCCTGTCCCTGTGTGGATGACTTGGGAGAGGACAGTCCAGCAGAGGCACACACATGTCCCTCCTGCAGGAAGCTCTTTAGGAGCAGATCCCCTTCCCTACTCCAGCTGGTGTGGGGCAGAGACCTCCATTCCTGCCTACCACATCCCAGGCAGGAACTGGTCATCCAGATCCAGCTATTTTGAAGCCAAATCCTCTCCTTCTTAAGCAATTTCACTTCAGTTGTGGAAGAGCGCAGCAGAGGTGTGCTCAGACCCTCCTAAAAGGTCTCTCTGAGGAGTGGGTCCACGTGTGCCAATCATCCAGCTTCACGTGGCCAAAGATATTTTGCCAGTGATGATTTTCAGTCTCTCAGCTATTTTCCAGCTTGTTGAACCCTAAACCCATCCATTACTGTCCACCTTGGGTGGCTGGACCAGAGAAGAGCCCAAAACTTCCGCAAAGGTCCCCAAGGAGGAGAGAAGATGTCTCAGCTGATTGCTCACCTCTCGGGGTTGGATGGGTCTCGCCAGGTTTTCCCCCAGGACAGCGGTGTAATAGGCCAAATTCTGGTTCATCACCTCATCATGTGGGAAGAAGAGCAAATAGGTTTTGGCGCATTCGATGGCTTTTTCGTAATTCCCATCTGCAAAGAGAAAGTGGGGCTGTTTAACAGCATGTCCAAGGGCACTGGAGGCAGAGCAAACACGGATATGGAAGAGAGATGAGAGACAAAATCCTTGTTGTCCTGCAAAGAGTCTCACAAGCAGGGCAGATCCCCTGGAGCAAGGATAACTGCTGCCACAAAGGCAAAATTCAGAATCCAAGGTGCTCTCCTGCCTCCAGAAACCAGGGTCACAGGTTGAGTACTTTTCTTGCTTGGAAAAATTCCTGAGGCCCCATTTCCAGGCAGTCAGACCCAACCATTCCTTGCTAACCTGCAATTTCCAGCCACTGAAGCACCCTGCCCCACTTTTGTGTAGCCTTTCACAGAATCACACAGTCACCAACTGGGGAAGGAAAGGAAGGGACCACACTGGGTCATCTGGTCCAACCTCCCTGCTTAAGCATCCTGGTACAGGATTGCATCCAGATGGTTCTGGAATATCTCCAGCAAGGGAGACCCCACACCCTCTCTGGGCAATCTGTCCCAGCACGTGGTCACCTGCACAGTGAAGTTCTTCCTCATATCCAGGTGAAACTTCCTGTGCATCAGTTCCTGCCCGCTGCCTCTTGTCCTATTGCTCAGCAGCACCGAGCAGAGCCTGGTCCATCCTCTGACACCCACCCTGCAGATACTGACAGACATGGATGAAGTCCCCTCTCAGCTGTCTCTTCTCCAGGATTTCCATCTTCTTGGATGCCATAATTTTTTTCCCCTCCCTTTGAAGAAATTTGCACAGAAACAGTTTAATTTTTCTAAGGAGGCGAGTTAAAAAGTGAAATAAAAATCAGATGTATTTGCCTGGGTTATAACTCTTCTGGCAGGGAAGCACACCACTGTGGTTTGAAGCAAGAGGAAGACAGCAGGCAGGAGGGAAAAATATACTTCTCCAGGCTGTTATTTCACTTGGAAAGCAAAACTGCCCGGGAATAAAGTGATGTGGAGGGTGACTGATCCAAATGTCCTGCAGAACATTTCAGGCAGGAGGAGCATGCCTGTGTGAACCTCACAAAGTACAACAAGGTCTGGTGGAAGCTTCTCCACCACTATGAGTGAAGACAGGGGCATGGGTGGGATTAGAGCAGCCTGTGAAGGACTTGGAGATACTGCTGGATGAAAAATTGGACAGGACCTGGCCACGGTAGCCCAGAAACCCCTCAAGTCCTGGGCTGCATTGTGGGCAGCAGGTGAGGGGGGGATTCTGCCCCTCTGCTCTCCTCTGATGAGACCTCCCCTGCAGTGCTGCCTCCAGCTCTGGGGTCCCCAGCACAAGAAGGGTGTGAGTGGACCCCTCTGAGTGGGTCCAAAGGAGGCCACAAAAATGGTTAGAGGACGAGCATATCTAGGAAGAAAGGCTGAAAAAATTTAGGTTGTTGAACCTGGAGATGGGAAGGCTCCTGGGAGATCTTATGGCCTTCCCATATCTAGAAGGGGCTACAAGAGATACGAGGACAACTTTTACCAAGGCTTTTAGTGACAGGACAAGGAGCAACGGTCTTAAACTGAAGGAGGGCAGGGTTAGGTTGGCCATAAGGAGGAAATTTTTTATGATGAGGCTGGTGAGGCACTGGCACAGGCTGCACAGACAAGCTGTGGCTGCCCCATCCCTGGAAGTGTTCCAAGGCAAGTTGGATGGGGCAGTGAGAGACCTCGGAGTGACCAATGCCAAGATGTCGCTGCATCTTGGGCTGGACTGACGAGACGATCTTTGAAGGTCCCTTCCCAACCCAACCACTCTGTGGATCCATGATTTCAGCCTGTCCAGAGCCGGGTGCCCAGCCCTGACAGCCCACAGAAGCTGCTTACTGTTGTAGTAGGCAAACTGCAGGTAGTTGAAGTGCGAGGGCAGGAAATCCTCCAGAGGCTTCTCCCGGCCAGGCTGTGAGGCCAGCTCTGTGACACAGCCCTGCTTGCAGCTTAGCACCTGCATGGAGTGATCTGGTGGAGAAAAAAAACCCATGTCACTGCTCATGGTCACCCACAGGCTGGTGGGCAGGACCCTGAGGGGTCTCCAACCTTCTGCTTGCACTGGGGCTGTTTGCCAGATTTTTGGTGTTGGTTGTTCACCTCTAAGTGATGGGGGGGGGGGGCTGTGCTGCTCTCTGGGGACAGAGTGGCCATCTCTGGCCTCCCATCCTGGTGACCCTCTGCTGGTCCCTCTCCTGTTTTTCCATATTCCTCTGGAATTTTGAGGATTCTTGAGCATCACCCCAAGTGCTGAGTGCAGGCAAACACCTCCTGCCACTTACTGGCCACTCTTCTCCAAGTAAAACCTAGGATGGTATTTGCCCTCTTCAGGGACCCACCATCCCTCAGGTCTTTGGGAACCAACCGCCCACCGAGAACTGTCCCCAACTCTTGTGACAGGACACAGCAGGCAGAGCTAGCACCTGTGATGGCCTGGAAAAGGTCTGCATTGTACTCCAGGTAGTTGTAGCCCTCGTAGTCGTAGGGTCCCTCGCAGAGCGCGCGGCACTCGGCGTCTGCCACGAAATACTCCTCCAGGGCCTTCTCCAGGTGCAGGATGGCGGCAGCCGGCTGCTCCTCCGAGTAAAACCGGACCCCCAGCCGAAACTCACTCTGCAGAGGGATGAGGAATGATGAGGGGGGCTCAACATGGGGGTTCCATCCCCGTGATGGATCACCCGGGCTACCTCGTCCCCATGGGGAGGGACCTCGCAGCACCACAGTTACCGCACAGGGACTTTGGAAGGGGAGAGGGGGTCTCACCAGGTGGGGTTTGGCCTCCAGGTCGGTGAAGTCCTCCTCGCGGACCCCCACCATAGCCTGGTAGTACTCCAGGTTCTGCCTCATCTCCTGGTGCCCGGGATTGGCCACGAAGAAGGTGTGAGCGGCCGCTGCCGCCTGCGCCGGCCGGTTCATCTGGGTGGGATGAGGGGGGTGAGACAGTGCAGATCCCACGCGGAGAGGAGGGGACCCCCGGCCCCTGAGACATCCCGGAGCATCCCGGAGCATCCCGGGGCATCCCGGCGGCCGGGGTAGGGGGCGGTGACGGGGGCGGCCCCGGCGAGCTCCGACGTGGCACTGAGGGGGGCAGGGCACGGCCATCCCGCCGGGGCACACAGCGAACCCATCTCCGGCGTCCCGGCACCGCGATCGTCCCCGGCCGGTTCTCTCGATCCCATCCCTCCATCCCCCCCGCCCGGCTCCGGCATCCTCCGCGTATCCCGCCCTTCCCGCATCCCGCCGCACCGGGAACTTCTCCCTTCTCTCCCTCCCTCCCTGCCGGTCCCGCACCTTGAAATAGGCGACCTGCAGGTAGTTGTAGGGGCTGCGCCGGCCGAACTCGCGCTCCAGCTCCTCGCTCAGGCGGTACCGGGAGGGCGCGGCGGGCCCGCAGCCCCGCAGGCAGGCTGCGCGGCGGAGAAGCCCCCGGAAGAACCGCAGGTCCCGGAGAACCGGGTCGGGTTGGGGCTCGGTGCCCTCCTCCTCGTCCTCCGGCGGCCCCGCCGTGGCGTTGGCGCAGCGCAGGCGGCACCGCGCCAGGCGGGAGCGCAGGGCGGCCCGCGCCCGCAGCGCCCGCTCCATCTGCAGCACCACGGCCGGCCAGTCCCCCCGCGCGTACGCCTCGGCGCCGGCGGCGAACAGGGCGTCCGGCGGCTGGGCCGGCAGCGGCGGGTCGGCCGGGACGGGGAGCGGGAGCGGCTGCGGTGGCGTGGCGGCTCCCGCCAGCAGCGCCAGCGGCAGCAGCAGCAGCAGCAGCTCCATGACCGGCAACGGCGGCGGCAGCGCCATGTCTGAACCCCGGCCGAGTCGCCGCACCGCAGCGATACAAACCCCGCCCCTCCGCCACGCCCCTCCGCGGCCATCACCTAATCAGTGGCCGTAGCTCATCGCCTAGGCCCCGCCTCCTCTGCCACACCCCGCCCCCTCCGCGCACAGTGCCCAATCAGCGCCTCAGCCGCGGTCCCGCCCCCTCGCCGCGCGCGGTGACGCCACAGCGGGAAGCGGGCGGAAGTGGTCGGGCGCGGTCGGCGATGGCGGAGGGAGGCGCGGTGCCCGGGCATGGCGGCGCCGGCCCTGGGCTGGCCCTGGCCCTGGTGGAGGGCAGCGCCGGCCGCGCCGCCCGCGTCGGGGACCCCGACGACCTGGTGGCCCTGGCGCGGCAGGTGCAGCAGGTGAGGGCCGGGCCCCGGCGCCAGGGGCATGGCTCTGGGCCCCGTGTCCCCGGTGCCTCCCGGCCGTTCTCCGGAGCCTTCTCAGCCGGCGGCGGCCTTGGTGCCTCCCAGCGCTGTTCTCTGGTGACTCCGGCGGCCTCTTGATGCCTCCTACCCTCTCCCACTGTCCCCTCCCCGTGTGTCCCAGTGACCCCCAGTGCCTTCCCGAGTTCCCACGCTGTTGGTGTCTGCAGTACCTCCCATTGCACCTCCCCGCTTCCCACTGTGCCCTGCTGCCCCCCGGTGACTCACAGAGCATCACGCCGAAGTCCCATCCCAGTGTACCCTGTTGTCTCCCAGTACGTCCCAGTAACCAGTTAACCCCACTGTGTCCAGGTGCCTCCAGCCGCTACTCTCCCAGTCCATCCCAGCACCCTTGGTATGTCTCATTCCCACTTCAGTGGCTCCCAGTCCATCTCAGTGCCTCTGGGTCCACCCCAGTTTTTCCTGATATGTCCTACTGCCCCTCCCAGTGTCTCCCAGCACACCCCAGTGCCCCCCTCGAATGTTCTGCTTTCCCTCCGGTGCCTCCTAGTACATCCTACTGCCTTCCAGGGATGTCGAGTTTGTCCTCCAGAGCTTCTCAGCCCGCCTAAATGCTTCCCTGTAAATCCGACTGCCTCTTTGCTGTGCATCCCACTACCTCCCAGTCCAACCCATTGCCTCCCAGTCTGTCCCTACTGCTCCCTCCCACTGCCCCCAACCTGTCCAGGCAGCTCCCAGTGCCTCCCAGCTCCACGGGTGTCACTCCAGTGCCCCGGGGGTGCTGTGACAGCTGACACCTTGAGCGTGGGAGGGCTGCGGCTCCTCCCATCCTGACCAGCACCCGCTCCTCCCTCTCCCAGGCCGATGACTTCGTGCGGGCGAACGCCTGCAGCAAACTGGCCGTGATCGCCGAGCAGATCCGGCACCTGCAGGAGCAGGCGCGGAAGGTGAGCGAGGATGGGTAGGAGGCTCGTTGATGAGCACCTGCCCTCTCTGCCGGGCGTTCGGGGGGAGCTGTGGCCCTGGGTGTGAGTCGGGGCCAGAAGCCCAGCAGAGGAGGTTCAGTGGGAAAATGAGGGTTTGTTGTCAGGTGTCGATGGGGACGGGTTTGAGTGCTTTCACTGAGTCCTGGGCACATCAGGAAGGACTTCAGATAAAGTGGGGGCGCAAGGGCGGGTGGTGCAAAGCAGCTCATGTGTCAGGGAGGACAGAGAGATGACTCTGGATTTAGGAAGGGTGACTCCTGTATGTGCTGTGCTCCCAGGAGGACCCGTAGGGGTGGCAATGTGGCCCTGGTTGGATCTGAGCCCCCTGAGAGAGAAGAGCTTTCCCTGTCGGTGGGCTTGGCTTTCCCGATTGTCCCAGCTCATTTGGTCCTGGCAGCACCCAGCAGGGCTCAGCTGTGCTCATCAATACACCCTTCACCCTCAGGGGTGAAATCTGGAGTCAGAGTGGGAAAGGATCTGCCAGTCAGTGCAACTGGCCTGCAGCCATGGAGGCACTTACGTCATGTAATCATTAACTGGTGGAGCTGGGGAGATGAATTTCCCTTTGTTCCCTGCCCCTTTCCCTGGGGACAGCAGCAGGAAGCCCCCAGCAGCTGTGTGTGTGGGGTCAGGCACAGAGGTGAACCTGGGGAGAGGTGCAGAGATCCTTGATCCTTGGAGGTATCTCCATCTCCGAGGAGAGGTGCTCTGAGGTCCAGCTGACAGGGAAGACGTGGAGAAAACTTAATCTCTTTGGGAAGCATCTCCTTCCTGGGGGCAAATGAAATCAGACATGCAGATTGAGTGTGTCAAGTGATGTGTCTTGGGCTCTGGCAATAGCACGTTGTCATTTTATTTCAAATGTAGAAACATTAAATTTGTGTTTTCCAGGTCTTGGATGAAGCTAACAGAGATGCTGATCTGAACCACGTGGCCTGCAACCTTGTGAAGAAGCCAGGAAACATTTACTACATGTACAGGAGGGAGAGTGGGCAGCGATACTTCTCCATCCTGTCTCCTAAGGTGAGTGGTCACAGCCCCTGAGGGAGCAGGGAGGGGAAAAAAAAGTCATGTTTGTGGTGTTTGGGAACATGTGGACCTTAGAAAAAACCACCAGCTCGATGGGGGCATTTGTTGGCTGCTGCTCAGTTGGCCTTTGCCCTTGGTCTGGGTTAGTCTGCTGGGGCCAGAGCCATCTTATGGAGTTCTCTGGCTCTTGGTGGAGGGTGGCAAGAAGCCCTTTGGTGTATGGACCTGAATTCTGCCTTTTGGTCCCTGCAGTTCTTCCTCTGAGCCTTTTGTGGCTGGCGTGGCTGCCTGACAGGGTGCTGTCTTCAGGTGCTTCAGCCCAGGGACTGAGTTTGCCTGCAGCTTGAGGAGTGGTCTTGGAGGTCTCCTCCTTACAGGCCACCCATTTTCTTACATGCAGGGTGAAGGCTTCAGGGCAAACCTCTGGGCAGGTCAGGGAGGTCCTGTGCCCCCAAACCTCCCTGCATCAGCAGTGCTGGGGCTCGACCTGATCTTGGACTCAGGGTAGCTGAGCCTATTTTTAGGTTAAGAAGTGGGATGGTCATGTAGCTGGGAGTGCATCAGAGGTTGGGGGCTGAGGGACAGCACAGCCCAGCTGCAGGGGAAACTGAGCACTGATGAAGTCTCTCCTTTCCCCGCCAGGAATGGGGAACCACTCCCCACGAATTTCTCGGTGCCTATAAGCTCCAGCACGACATGTCCTGGACTCCATTTGAGGACATTGAGAGACAAGATGCAGAAATAGCCATCCTGGAGAAGCTGCTGAGCCGGCAGGCAGCACTGCCCCCCTGCACAGAGCCCAACTTCCAGGGCCTGACCAAGTCACAGGAGTGACCACACAGGACCCCCTGAGCAGAGTCCCTGTGTGAGGGGACATGGGGCCTGGGCGCTGCCAAAGGCAGGGCAAGGAAAGAGCCCAAGAAACAAAAATGCTGATTGCTCTGTGCTTTAAGGACACTAATTATGTATTCAATCCTACTGGATTTTCTGGTAATTGAGTAATTTATTATGTTGACCTGTGCCCGGCTGTACTGAGAGGCAGGTGGTACCAGCTGGTGTGAGTTCCAGAGGGCTTGGAACGTCCTACCTGCCTGGCTCTGGTGTACCTCACTGTGGCAGGTAATGATTTCAGGGCTGGATTTTGCCCCTTGTTAAAATGCACATGTTTATGGAACTGTGTGGCCCAGGAAGAGGCATCAAAACCCCGTGCAAAGGGTCTGCTGTGATGAGAATCTGCTGGTCTCTGTCCCAACTGGTCTGAACCCCTGAGCTGGGAACACGGGTGACCTGGAGCTCTGTTTTCTGGGAAGAGTGTCCTCAAAAGTGCCATTCAGGCCTCAGGTGCTCTTCAAACAATGGGTGTTTCACAGTCCTTGTGCATTCCCCTTGGATTTGAGTGCATGAGCTGCCAGGTGGAGACAAGGCGCTGGATGCCTCTGTGCCAGAGCGGTGGGGAAAGTAAAATAAACCAGTCTTGATCTCAGATGTACCTTTGAGACAGGCCCTGTGTTCCTCCTGTGTGGCAAGTATCCCTTTGGCTTTATCAGGGAGACTTGGTGGCACGTGGAGCTGATGGGACATCTCCAGCCTCTTGTCCTTGTGCCCACACCTTGGGAGATGCTTGAGGCTGCTGGCAGTGACAATTCCTTATGGGAAGAGCTGTTCCCTGTGGGACCATATAGAAGTGGGGAGGTTTGAGGCAGCTCCCTGGCAGCCCAGCATTTTTCCCCCCCCCCCAGGTTGTTTTTCTCCTAGCTCTGCCCAGTGCAGTAGCTCACCCACATGCCAGCATGGCTGAGCCTTTGGTTGACAGAAACCTGCTCCTCAGAGTCAATTTTTCCCAGTGCCCTTCCTCACTTGAAGCACAAGCCAGATTAACAGCAATTATTCTATTATTATTATTCCAAGGTATAATTAATTCCTCATCAAGTCACAAGTGTCTTAATTTGATGGTTTTTTTTTTCTCTGCTCATTCCATCGCCCTGGGTCTGATTTTACCCTGCGTTATTAAATCTTAACTTGGAAGGGAGAAAGTTAATTACTGCACGAGCTTTCTGTGGTGCTAATTACAGCAACAGCAGATGTGTGTTGATTTAATGCTCCTCTGGGAAGTGGGGCTTCCTGCCCCAGTTTTATCTGTTTCCATCACTAGTATCTGTACCATGACACGTGCAAAGAGGTCGGGGTGGTTGTGGGACCTCTGTAGCCTTAGGTGGGATTTCACCTCCAGCAGACACTCCACGACTTGCTGGTTGTTCTGCAGGTCCTCTGGGCATTGTCAAGTCTTTCTCTTGGATTTGCCTCCCAAAAAGCAAAGCCCCCATGGCTGTGGATCTGTATGAAAACACAAAGGAGGTCTCGAGAGGCAGGCCGTGGGGGCGATGGGCTCATGCTCGGTGCTCTCATGGGGAAGTGGGGATGAGGGTCCTGCAGTAGTGCAGGGGGGGATTGCTGGAAAGGGGGAACCATCCCCCCCAAAACAGCCCACCCAGTGTTGCCATCCCTGCTGGTTCTGTATCTAAATAAATCCAAAGAACTGAGGCACTGTCAGAAATGCTGGAAGGTGGTGTAGAGCTGAGCATGAGGATAAGCATCCTCTGGAACATGGACAAGGGTGGAGCTGGTGGCAGGAGGATGAGCTGGAGCCTCCTGTGGTGGTTACAGCTTTGGATGAGTCCTGGAGAACCGAGGAGATGGTGCCCTGTGAGAGACTCCACAAGTCCCTCTGGGTTCATGATCTCACCTGCTCAGCTCAGCCTGTACCCAGCTGTTGCCTTTGTGCTTGACAGGAGCAGGGATTTCACCCAAAATCAGCTGGGAAGGGTCAGCAGGACACTGGCATCCACTCCCAGTTTTGTCCTGAAAATTCTTGTGGAAAATATTCTTCTTCCATTGCTCTTTGGTGAGCGCTCAGGGCAGCAGTGAGCATGTTCAGAAGGCAGAGGCTTATTACCAAATCTCCAAGGGTGGCCAATATTTGCAGGAGGAGGCACAGATGGGCTTCTGACACCATTACATTGGGCAGAGTGGGTTTTGCTCTGTCTTTGGCCACGCAGACGAACCAGGGCTTGCTTAAAAGGCCCAGCACAAAGATGTTCTGAGGGTCTGACCCACTTCAGCTGCTCCCCAGAGCCCATGGTTGGTGACTCAGGGCTGCTGGCACTAGGACCTGGAGCTCTTTGTGGCTTTTATAAATTGAATTACTCTGGATTTTTCTGTGTCAGGCCAGATTTTGGCTCCTGCTTCTCAAAGTGGCCATGCCTGGAGATTTTCTTTCTGGGCTCTTGTTTCTGAAGGATGAGGTGGGTTTAGGGGGATTTAACCCTCCATAAGTCCCTGAACTCTTCCAGGGGGTTGTCTCCCAGCCAGGAGGAGTCTCCCAGCAAGGAGGAATTGTGGCTCTTCGGCCCATTTTATTTCAGCTTCAGCTCCAGAGGAGAAAAGGAAAACAAACAAACAAAAAAGAGGAAGAAAACATTGAGGGGAATTTGGAAACTGATCCAGGGGATGCCCCACATAGGGAGACTCTGCCCCATGTGCTCCTGCAGCCCTCGAGTGTGTGCACAGAGGTGCAGGTGCAGGGTGGAGGGGTCTAAATTAGCAACACTGAAGTTTTTATTTAAACTTCAAAGGCTTACATAGAGACCAAAGCAGTGTGTTGTTGCTCTGTGGTCAGTTTATACCAAAAAAAAGAAAAAAAAAAGAAAACCAAAAGGCACAGAATTTGCTCTTGCATTGAAAAGACCACAAACCCCGGGAGCGTTTGCCACTGCACCCTGTGACCAACCTCCCCTTGCCCATGGGTGGTGGATCATCATCAAAGCTATTTGGGCACATGCACATGATCTCACAAAAAACGTGCAGCTAGCAAAAGTATAATTTTTTTTCTCCCGTTGTTCTTGAAACCCACAAAGTCTGCCATCATTATGGGAATCCCTGTTGGAGATAAAGGAGGTGTCCGGGATCCTGGAGCCACTCAACAGAGCCAAATATATCCCAACACCTCTGCAGCTTTGAAGCTCCCATTTCTGAACAACTGACTATCAACTACCAAAGAAACATTAAGAGATCACTTCTCAAAAATGCAACTATCATGGAGCTACCACAGAGCTATCACAGAATGTGCTGAGTTGGATCTCACTGCTTGAGACCAACTGATATTTTCTGTACTTAATGCAACTTTCTTTTTCTAATTCTGTAAGATACTTTGCACATCTTTGCAAAGGCTCCTCTCAACCACCTGGTACATACAAGACAGGAAGTGAGGGTGGTTGGGCAGGGGAATTTTAATAAAAGTGAATTTTAATAGCCTGAGCCCAAGACACCAGCAGCACCACAACATACACTTCAAAAATAAAGGAGACCTAATTCTTCACAGAGACAGTGATCAGACACTGGAATGGGCTGCACAGGTGGATTCACTGTCCCTGGAGGTATTTAAGAAGAGACTGGATGTAGCACTCAGTGCCACGGTCGAGTAGGCAAGGTAGTGTTAGGTCAAAGGCTGGGCTTGACGATCTCAGAGGTCTTTTCCAGCCTGGTTGATTCTGTGACTTTTTCCACGACTTTTAAGCCTTGCTCTTGTGCTCAGTGATCGGATTGGGTCATGACTAATAAGATGAGGTCACCACTTTCTGAGTTTATATATATATATATATATATATACACACACACAGTATTTATGGAGAATTCGGTCTGACAGAGTAGGAATCGTTTCTTGAGTTAGTTAATGTCCCTGGGAACCAAGCCCCTGGAATCTGTTCCCGCTCTCGGATCTTCCTCCGGCGGCGGCGGGCGCGGCCGGCAGGGGGCGCCGTGAGCCGGCCCCGCCCCGCCCCGCCCCGGCGCGCGCTGCGCGGTGACGTCACGCCCCTGCTGCCCGCGCCGAGGAGACCCCGCAGCGAGCTGCCAACGCCCGGCCGAGCGTCCGAGGTGAGAGGAGGGGGGGGGGGAACGGGACCGGGACGGGACCCCCGGCCGAGCACCGCGACCACCGAGCGGCCCCGATCCCCGCCTGCCACCCACTCAGCGACTCCCTGGCCCCGGACGGGTCGCCCGCCGAGCGCCGGAGCCGCCCTCCCAGGCCCGGCGGTGTGTGCGGGGCCTCCCCGGCAGCCGCCCTGCTGTGGGGCGGGCTCGTCCCCGGTGGGCGCTGCCGCTGCGGGGCCGGGGGTGCCGGGGCGGCCGCCGCCTCCCCTCCTCCCCTCTCCCCTCCCTTCCCCCGCTTGCTGGCGGCCGGACCCTTGGAGCGGCGCAGGAAGTGCTGCCGCGGCCATGGCTGGGCCCAGCCCCGGCCCTGCCCCGGCCCGGCCTCGGAGCGGCCCCGGCTGTGGGAGAAGCCCCGAGGGGCTGCCGGCTGCGCTGGGGCGGTGCCGCAGGAGCCCTGAGCCGCGGCGGGGTGCGAGACGCTGAGCTCCAGCTGTGTGTGTGCTGCACACAGGCAGCCGAAGAGTCGGGAGGCGCTTCTGGGCATCTGCGAGGCTGTGGGTTATGTTATCCAGAACCACCCCGCAGCTCTCGGTACAGCGCCGGTGGTGCCACCGGCTGCAGCCGGGGCAGGAGCCAGCGCTGCTCACTCCGACCATCTTGGAGAGTTGTTGTTGACGCGCCTTTGCCATTCTCGGAAATCCTCACAAAAATGTATATATATACTGCAGCCGGACGTCACCTTATCTGTGTTCTAATCGCTGTTCTAGCGATCTGGACTTGAGTTGTGTTTTTACCTTCCAGCAGGCAGAACTTGCAGCTGGTGACAGACACTTGTACGACCAGGTAGCTGTGAATATACCAACCAGCACTGGAAACCTGTGCTTAACGAAGGACTGCAGAACGGCCAGGGTTCCTGGTGCCCTGCCTGTGTGGGTGCTGTGGCCAGAGGAGCAGGAACAGCTTTGCTGCTCTCTTGGCAGGCAAGCCCTGGCGAGGAGAAGGCCATGATAGATGGTAACTGGGTAGTCAGAAGTGGCTCTGTCTGGTCATCTGTGCTTCTCTCCCAGGGAAGGAGGTGCTGGCTGTCTCTGTTCGAAGTGTTAAAGTGTTAAGTTGCAGTGCCCCAAATGTCCATTTATTAATTAATTAATTTATTTATTTTTGAAGGCACTTAAAACCTGGATCAGGCTCCTCGTATTGCTCATAGGGATAACTCAGTGAGGCACTTAGAGCTGCACTTTTTCACTTAGCAAAAGGGTCTTGTGCAAAATCAACTTTAAGTAGAAAGCCTTTATATTTAACTGACTGTACCTTGGGAAGCTATTCTGCTTTGTGGACTCTTCTTGTTGGTGCAGGGTTCTGGCAAAGGCAGTGTAGGCAGGTTTTGATTTTGAATTTGAGACGGGTCTTAGACTCATACTTAAGACTTCCATCAGTGTATTGCTGACTGTAGAAATAATTCTGTGTTTAAGCTGTTCACTTGTGTGCCTCAGTAACAACGAGGAAAAGGATTTTTAAAATCCTGGCAAGGAATAAAAAAATACCTACTGCAGTGCAAAA